AGACAAGGGGCATCTCTGAAAACACATCTGAGTCATGACATGCAGACACTTTGTGGATGCTTCTGTTCAGGGTCTAATCTGCATGCACACCAGAGTGTTACCCTCTTGGTGTCAATAAGAATAGAAATTCACTTGGCTATGACATCAAAGAATAGCAACAATACAGAAGTGCCAACAAGTACATGCAATTTGACTGGCTACTCATGGAATGTCACCAGAAGTGTTACGGAAATGAAAGTTGGCAGTCATTACTTATTGGTAAAAATTTTTATATTTTTAAATTTTTGTTTGTTTGGGCAACTATACCAGCATTACTCAGAAGCTATTCTCAGCTCAGTGGTTGGGGTTTGCTCCTGGTGGACCTTGGGGGGGGACTATATTCAGTTCCACAGATGGAATCTATGCTCTTCGCATGCCTGTTTGCAAAGCTTATACTCTAGCATGTTGTGCTATCTCTCCAGAAATAGAGTAATTCTAACAGACATTTGTTGATAGAGCCTCATAACACAATAAGGAATTCATGTTATTTAGAGATTAATCTTTCTAAAATTCTCAGCATTTTCCCATATATTATAAGTTGTATTTTGTGTACTCTACTAATTTTATAAATCTTCTTAATTTAATACCACAGATCACTACAAATTTGAAGTTAAATTACAAAAGCAATTTCAGAAATTGACTTTCTTTTCTTTTTATTTCTTTTTTGGGGTCACACCTGGTGATGCACAGGGGTTACTCCTGGCTCTACACTCAGTAATTACTCCTGGTGGTGCCCGAGGGACCATATGGGATGCTGGGAATTGAACCCGGGTTGGCCAGGTGCAAGGCAAACACCCTATCTGCTGTGCTATCGCTCCAGCCCCAGGAATTGATTTTCATCTGCAATATAACTAATAATTATGAGAAAAAAAGATAAAAACAAAACCAGCTTTGCAGAGAGGTTCCAGGAGATAGACACTTCATTCTGTTCAGTGAAGCTCTCCTTAATGAAGGGATGCATAACTGAATGACCACATGGGAGGAATAAGAAGGTAAGGGATGAATTAAGGGGTAGATGGATCAGATTTTAACTTTTGGCTAGTTACATGAGATATTCTGGTTATGAAGGAGTAGAAAGCATAACAAGTGATTCCAATTTAAGTTAATTACTATGCTTACTCTAGTCCTAGCTTTTTTAAAACTGTGGGTCACGACTGCTGATGGAGTCATGTCACTGAAAGTGGGGTCATGGAAAAACTGGCAATAGTAGTAAGAGACTTCTGAGAGTGCAATGACCAAAAATTAATTCAAAATCAAACATACCAAACATACACATAATGAAGCCAAATGTTTTTGGTAGCACTTGCCCTTGAGGTATTTCTTGTATGCAAAGTAGTTGAGAGTAGAAAAAGTTAAGAAATCCAGTTATAGCCTACAGGTCTTTCATGATAAAGAAATCAGCAGAATGAATAGGAAGAATCCACCCTGTATCATGTAAGGTTTGGGAGGTTGTTTTGGTCTTAGGGCCACACCCTGGTGATGTTTAAGGGTTAGGACTGGCTCTATCTTGGTGTGTATGTGTGGGGAGAGGGTTACTCCCAATGGTGCTTGGGGGAATCATGCCAAGTTGGGGATAAAACCAAGCTTGATGAATGCACCATAAACATGTAGTATGCCAAAATATTAAGGTAAAGATACTTTATTCTGGAAAATTTATGGGTTTTCCTCTCCTTTATTAAGACAAGTTGATCTACTTTAACACCTGGTACCACATGGTTTCCTGGAATAGAACTGTGCCTTCCTCTCCAAAAAGGAATAAAGAAAATGCTTTCATGTTTCATAAAAAGGAAGAGGCATAATGAAATTTGATACACTGCAAAAGTATGGCGAAGATGAAATAAATCTCCAAAGAAAAAAGAATTCACTAGGAATTATACCTCTGTCTTTCTAAGAAAGACTCTCTACTCACATTTTCCCAAACATAGGTAGATGCCAGAATATAAAAATAATCACAGTATAAATTAAGGTGTTCTTTATAATATTATTGGAAAATTTCATAGCACAATAAGAAGCTTTCTATTGACCAGATTTTATAATGTATTAGTACAGTCAAATCTTTTGCTTGTTCTAATCCATGTTTGTCCTCTTTTGAGATAAATTGGGCAAGCATCCTATATGTGGAAGTTTAGGAAACTCCTGAATAGACTATAAATTATATGTATCTACTGGTCTGGAAACTTCTACCCTTGTCATTTCTGGTTTTGTTGCCCGTCTTGGGGGCCAGAAGAGAGGATGCAGTCAGGATAGAGTGGTGCAGTTTCCTCTCAACCCTACAATCAGAAACAGACTGGCACGGAGAAGTCAACCACAGGGCAGGGATCAGGGTGAGGCGAGAGACTGAGTTTGGGCAACTGCAGTGGAGGATCCTGTCTTTACTTAAAATGTTGATATTTTATTTACCACAGATTGCTTATTCTTCATTAATTTTAACTTTTTGAAATACTACATTACTAAGTTTTTCTACTCCAGACCTTTCCTCTTCAAGCAGTACCTGGGTGTTGGATTCAAGCAGATCTGGAAAGTAACATTAGCACACAACCTTTCCCTTTGACCCACCTCAGTTCAAAGGGCCAGGTGAGAGTCTTTAAAAACTCAGTTGACCCTGCTTGCAAAAATGCAAATGAAGGGTAAAGGGTCCCAGTCTCACTGAGGATCAGTGGGGATATTAGGAAACAGAGCTGTCAGTGATAGAACTGACGTGGAACTTATAACTCTCCCAATGTGAATTTGTTTCTGAATAGGAACTCCAACAGGCAAAAGAAATAATGCCCTTGAATATGAACTTAGCAGGAGAAATGAGGAGTCAGAACAATACATTTCCCCTCAATTATGAAAAATTCCTCCCACTAAACACACTAAACTAAATAAAGACTTGATTGTCAATGTGACACAAAACTGTTAAATCTGGAAATAAACAGGATTACATGTGGTAGAACTAAACTAACTCCAAAGGTATTTTTCTATTCTTGATGAGAACTCTCTTGTTACTGAAGAGGTCCTCAGACATGCTGGTATTTCTCTCCTGCCTGTCCCTAAAAGACCTACTTACTGTCCTCTGCCTAGACCCGCTTGTTTGGGTCCTTAGGCCTGGGCATAAACAGGTCCCCTTTCTCACCCACTTCAGAAAAATCACTGGTCTCCTATTTGTTCTTCTTCTCTGCTGAACCTAGAGCCTAGATTTGGGAAGTGAACTAAGGTTTACTGAGTAACCTGTGTTATGTTTTCAGAAGTGCTGACTTGACACCCCAGAAGCCCTACAAACAAGATTTTCAAGGAGACCTGGGAGACTAGGTGTTCTGCTGGGTCCCCCGACCCCCACCACCCACTACCATCTCTGCTGGGATATGGTAAGACCAGCTGTTAATGACTATTTTTTCATTTCAGCAAGTCATAGCAAATAATCTCATCATGGGATTGTTTGGAGGGTTGAAAAACAGGACTCCAGTTCCATTGACCTCTATGAAAGGAAACTTGGGACATCATAGCATGTTTTTTGAAATTGGAAGATAAAGCTGTGGGCAGCAAACTTTCTTCAAAAAAAAAAAAAGATGAGAAAGAAATATCAATCTAATGCTTAAAAACCCTCAGATCTGATGCTATTAGGCATGTGTTGATCATTAGACATTAATGTCGTTATATATTTTATGCATTTTAATGTAGATTGAGCAGGGAAAAATAACCAAATATATATTTAATTTCATAAGATCCCAAAGCACTCTGAGGATTTAAACTGATAAGCCAACCTCAAAGGGACTGATTCTTGCAACTAAAACACAGACACCTCTGGGGTGAAATGTGGCAACAGTTTGACAGGCATAGCAGTAGCTTAGGCCAGAAAGGATTTATCCAATTAAAATTATGGGATGAATTTTGGCTGGCAGAATGTAATTACCAGCCTTGGAAAGGATCCAGGATCCTGAGGTTAACACCCCTCCTCTTGCCAACAACCCTCCTACCTGCCAACACTCTGAGATGGAGAAGGCTGGATCTGACACAATCGCACATAATACTGTTGTGACATCTAAGCACAATGATGATGATGTGAGAAGCATCGTGAACCTGATTTTTTTTAACACTCATTATGTTACTTATTTTTATGCCACATTAGGCTAGAAACCAAATGTCCACATAAATGTTAATTTCCTCAAATCTGTGTTTAAAAAGTATAATTAGAAAATAAAAAATAGATTTAAAAATTAATTTAATTCCTTCGAAGTAGTTATTTAGTGATTATTTCACTTTAGAAATGAAATTGGATCAAAATGGTGACATTTAATCCTTGTTACATTAGAAAAAAAAATCAGGTCCTGATTTTTTGGAAGAGAAATGCGTTCTCAAGGTTCACTGGCCTAGAAAAAAGGGAAATACTTAAAGCCTGGTTCATGTTGGTTGTAGCTTAGATTAATGGGCATGTGCAAACCCTGTTCTTGTCTTGGGGTGAGTCCAGTTCATATTCACCAGTGCTCTTGGACTGCGCTTCTCAGTAGGGAATTAACCAGTCGGGGGAAGGGGCTGTGCTCTTTGGCAGGGACAAGAGCCCCCTGCTGGTGTCTGATGAATGGGTTTTAACCTCGTCAATAGATGATAATACCCTTAAAAAAAAAAGAAGCCCCAAACTCTTTCACTCTCACAAGTCGATGTCGATGTTAGAGTTCCAAGATCGAGCCGAGAAGGGGATTCTCAAAGGACCTTAGTGGGGCTTTCCGGGACGCCAGCGGGCGGGCTCGGGGGTCAGCGAGCGCAGCGCGAGGCGGCCGCACGCGGCCGGTGACCGAGCCGGAGACCGTCGGGGCGCGCGGGAGGCGGGGCCCGTTGTCCGGCCCCGCCGCCCCTCCCGGCTCGGGCTTAACCCTACACACGGCAAACGCGGCTCTTTGCGGCCGTCCTGGCCGCCCTGCCGGGTGCCTGGGGGAAGTGCCCGCGGGACTCGGGTTCCTCTGGGGCCCACGTGGCCCAGCGACTCTCCACCCCGGAACCGGGGCGGGCGCACAGCGCGCTGGAGACCGGGCACGCGCGCACTCCTGCCGCCGAGCCCCTGCGCGGGCCTAGACGTGCAGTTCGGGGTACGTGCGCGGGAGGCGAGTGCTCCGAGGGCGGCGGGCGAGCCCCTGCACTCAGCGCAGTCCCTGCTGGCGCCTCCTGGGAGCAGGAGGCCGCTCTAGAGGGCCGGCCTCATCTGCCTTCAAAGCACAGGGTGGTGGTGGGGTGCTGGTTCTGGGTCCCTCTCTTGAACGAGGAGGGCGCGAGTACCTTTGCCCTTTAGGCTAACAGGCCTGTCTGCGCCTCGCCCCCACTCCCGCCCAAATCCGGGTGCTGCCGCTGACTTCTTCGGCTTTTGCTGGGAAGGTAGATTTTTCTAACACCATCTTTGTGTGATTTAGCTGTCCACAGGGAATCAAAAATGTGGAATGAGAGGATGAAACTAATCCTTTCTTTTGCACTGTTAGGGGTTGCCATAAACACCATTTGTTAAAAAGCATAATTATGTTGGGAAAGTGCCTGATGAGACAATTAAGCTACATAAACACACTGAAAACAAATGAAAGCCAGAAGACGCCCACACCCCTTGTGTAAAGTAATTTTTTGTTTACATAAAAATGAGAGAGGTCGGAACTGCTTTATTACAACAACGTTATTAATGTCTTGAAAAGCCTAATGAATGTGCTTTTGTGAATTTTCAGTTGTGCGATGATGGTCATAATATAAAAATGTACGTATGGACCTGAACTAGCCGCGAACTCTTTCTCTTTTAGGTTAGGAGGATAAGGCCAAGGGACAATAGCTGGGAGCTGATGGCTGAAGATGTGAATTAATGTGGCAAAATCACTGTTATTGCCCCCCAACCCGCCCCAGCACAGTTTAACCTGAATCTCAGAATTGGACACTTCACTACAGCCTCTCCCCCAAAGATTGATTCTTTACCAATACTCATTGAGTGATTTCATGAAGGCCATGATTTCATTTTGAGTTAGGCCTTTTAAAAGAGCCCAAAATACAGTGGTCTGATCTCAAAAAGAGAAGGTTATTTTTAAATTATTTGAGCTGTTTGAATTTCTTTAGTTTATAGTATCATTGAAGGCTGGCAAGATGAAAAATCCCATCCCAGAAAACAAAACAGAATGGAATCAATATCCAAAACTTGTGTATTTCATCCGTTTTTGACAAGAATTGATCATTTTTTTTTTTTGGCAATTTCCAGTTAACATATTAAAATAGATGTTCGCTTTTAGGTACAGAGTCCTGTGATTTGAAACTGATTTGGAAACTTAGATCAAAGTACAAGAGGAACATAGTGGAATAGTTGCCATTTAAAGTGTCCAGATGACCTCCCCCATCCAAAAAAAAAAATCCCCCCCCAAAAAATCCCTGGTGCGTTTTGTTGTTCTTTTTGTTTTGTTTTTTTCTTATTTGGGCCACTGTGCAGCATTTGAAGATACCTCTTATTAATTTATTTTGCTACGAGTATTTATAAAACTAGCATATTAAATCTCCCTGGTTTTTATTTTCTGTATCTGCCTAGTAAGTCTCACTTAACAGAAAGATCATGCTTACTTGCACAGAGCTTAAAAATAGGCATGCGCAAAAGTAGAGGATGCTTAAAAGGGAATAATATTCCTTAATGAATATATTTAATTTAAATGACAATTCAGGCTAAGTAACTTACAGAAATTATTCGGTGTGACTTTGTTCATATAACATACGTGCATGACCCAATAAACTTGGTTTCCTGCTTGAGACAAGTTGAAGATACTATAGATGTATTCTAGGAATGAAATAGTGAAGTGTTCATATTGTGACTGTCTGGTTTCCAAAGAGCTGAGTTTGTCTTTTTTAATGGTTAATGAACATGGAAAAAAAAAGAACTGTGGAAACCAAAATTAAAAATCATTTTCCTTATTCTAGAAAAATGTCTTCCTCCAGACTGGGACTTCGTTTGGCTGCCTGTTTACTAAACATTTCAGAAGCCAGAAGAAAACACATCGTTGAGAAGATAGCAAAGGCAGCTCTACTTGAAAAAAAAGGTAAGAACAAGCAGTTGAAGGGGACAGGGAACGTTTTGATAAGATAACAATTTTTGTGTTCTGCACCCAGTGTCTCTAGAACACTTGTCCTCCTAGTTTTCCCTCTCCTTTGGGGGTTGTGATAGCTTCTGCAGGACACCAGAATACTGAGCTCCGTCAGCCACTCAGACATGCACATATGCTCTGTTACAAGCCTTGCACCCCCTTCACAGGGACAGTCAGGGTTCACTCATTTGGGATTTCAGGATATTGACAGGCACCAGAGAAGGGAGCTTTACATAAAGGTTCAGTGTTTCCCTCCTGGACCACTTATTGGTCATTAATAGATTGTCTGTAATTATACAGTATTCTTTTTATTCATTTGGTTAAGTAAAAAAATAAACTTGCCAAATTCCTACTACTTTTCCAAGCCCTTCTGCCAGCATAGCCAATGCTATTATTATAGCATTATTATTTCTACTCCATTTTCTCTGTAAAAAGACACTTAAGCAATTGCATTTAAGTGATGTGCATACGATCACACAGCAATTCAGACTAGAATACAAGTCTTCTTACTTACCATGAAAGATACTACTCTGTTTATTTTATTTTATTTTAAATCTTTGGTAAAATGTTAGTAAGAGGTCACACAGTTCTAGATGTCATTTGTTTTTAGTCACACACATGCATGCACACACACGCACGTAGACACATACCCCATCACCACCACCACCAGTCTATATACAGACTGAGTCATTTAAATAGAAATGTTTTATTAAATCAACTTTTTTTGGAAACTATTGAGCATAGTGAAGCACTAAAGAACAGTATCTTTTAATTTCTGATGGTTGGTTTTGATTAGGTTACCACATCTCATGAGAAAGGTTTTCCTCCATTTCCAACAACAGGCACATTTAAGTTTCTGTTTTTCAACTTTGCAGGAACCATAAATGTCTATGATGATTCTTGATAATTACTGATAAGAAAACTCCAGAGTCAGTGTGCAGCTGTGCTTTTACGTTTTCTTTGTCAGAAGAGCTGGCTTGGACCTCTCATTGTTAGATAGTACCTCTAATGGGATTGGGTTACCTGTCTCTGTGATTTAAGTGAATGTGCAGAGACATTTGTGGAAGCCACACACTGATAGATGCCTGGGTCTCAACTCATAGGTTTTATCAGTGTATTAGTGGCAGCAGCTCAAAAGGAATTACAGCTATTATGCTCCATTACAAATACCAAACAATTTACTTCTGCTGAGATTCCTACCGACAGCTACTCCTGCCAACAGTAATTTTTTTTTTCTGCATGCGTGCTTAAGAAATTGCAGGAGAGTATTTCATTCTTTCAGCATTGGATTCTATTGAATCATATGAAACTGAGAATAAAAGCTTTCCATAAGATCTGGAAAAAAAGAAAAATCAAATCATTTCTTTTCTTCCAGGATCTGGAGTATGTTGAAAAGTACATAAAATAGTTTGTATGATCCTGTTATTTTTCATCTTTCATCGTTTTAAAAATGAAGGGAAGGTGGCACTAGTTAAGAAAATGATCCATTGTTTTAAAAATATTTTAAAGGCATTTATTTTTTGTGGGTGGAATAAAACTGTATCACCTATGTTTTTTTCTAATTAAGCAATGCGAAAACACTTAAATGGCCTAAAAGTTCTTACCTCAGTAAAGAAATCTGAGTTATAAATTTTAGACCTACATCAGGGCAGGGCTCTCTAGATGCCAATTTGGCTGTGAGTGAGTGACATATTTTTATCTTTGACATTATTAAAATTAATAGTGTATAGGGCTGCTGTAAGTTCTGTAGTTTGTGCTTTTAACTTGTTTTTCCTTTCCCCTGAAAGATTAGTTGTAAATCTGCCAGGGGACAGGGCTAGAAGGTATAATAGCATAGCTAAAGGTTTAATTAAGGCCTGAAAACTTTTGTCCTTCACTTTGAATTTGCTTTTGTAGGCTTGAGGGAGACTTTTAAGGAGCTTGAACTAGGCTTGTAAACTTCAAAAATAACTTTGGGATTATGTGCGGTTGCCATACAGTGGTATGGCAGCTTTCTCCTCCAGGTTACACATTCAAGTTACTGAAAGCTGGAAGTTGTTAACATCTGAATGCTGATGATAGCCTCTGGAATGGAGTGAAGTATAAACAGTTTTGAACAGACAGGTGCATGCATCCCAGAAAACTCTGCTGTTGGCCCTTTTTGGCATATCTTAGCTTCACCAAGTGTCAAATTTTGGTACACATAATTTGATTTCTGGGTTTTGGAGGGAAAAATTGAGCTGCCTTACATGTGATTGATTAAGGAGCAGAATTTACAGTGACATTGGCCATTGTAAGGAGAGGCCACTTTCAAAGAGAACTTAGACAGTAACAAGACTAATAATAGTTCTCTCATGGACACCAAAAGTCAATGCTTGAACTGAGGATCTGCATAGAAGAAATGCTCTGAAGAGAGCCCATTATGCCCTTGAATTTTATGAGTGGCCAGTGCTACTTTAACGATCACAGCCCCCTGTTTTTTATTAAATCAATTGTATCAGAATATTAAACTAAGATTAAATCATAGAAAAAATTATTGCATAATGTTTTCTTTTCTTTTGTGTATGTGTATGTGTGTGTGGGAGGGGGGTGGGCTTGGACCAACACCTGAAAGTTCTTAGGGCTTATCCCTGGTTAAAAAATCACTTCTGGCTTCTCTTTGAGGACCATATGTGGCACAGGAATTGAATGGAGTTGGCTGCATTCAAGGCACGTGCCTTCACCCCTGAATTATCTTTCTGGATCCTATATGTTGTTTTCTTTACAGGTCAGAGACATCCTGAAGTGTCAGTGCTCAATATATTTTCTGATCAAGATTACAACAGATCAGTGATTACAATAGCTGCATCTATTGATGAATTAGGTATGATTTATTTCTTTCTGTACCTGTATGTGCACTTTTTAAAGGTCGACCTGAATATTCTTTAATTATTGGTTTTCTGTATAAAATCTGAATGCCCCACATCCCTATTGCACAGTTTACTGCAAAACTGAATATTTTTCTTTTGGGGGTCACATCCAGCGATGGTCAGGGGTTACTCCTGACTCTGCACTCAGGAATTACTCCTGGCAGTGCTTGGGGAACCATATGGGATGCTACAGATTGAACCAAGATTGGCCGTGTGCAAGGCAAATGCCCTACCCACTGTACTATTGCTCCAGCCTCTGAATTTCATTCTTTTGGAACATTCATTCATTTCCAACTTCTTCCTTATTAAAATGAATCTCGGAGTCTAACATTTAATGTCATTCTTTCCTTGAAGATGATCACATGTCCTTTACTTTTATATAAACATCTACAAGTTTAATATGTGAAACAATAGTGTTGAGTTAGCCTTAATTTCACTGATAAATTGTTATGGACTAGAACTTGCTGTGTGGTGGTGTTTTGAATTGGGAGTCTGAAATATTGAGTTGATTCATGAGTTGGAATTATATGGGCCCCTTGTTTTATTAGGCTGTAATAAGATTCAGTGGAACAACTTGGATTTGAAGTGTTAATAATTGTTTCAAAAATGTATTGGAGCAATAGTACAATGAGTAGGGCTTGCATATGTCTGAGTGGATTTGATCCTGGGCAACACATATAGTCCCCCAAACCTACCAGGAATGATTCTCAAGTGTAAAACCAGGAATAAGGCCTGAGCACAGCTGAGTATAGCCCAAAATACAATATAAAAGAAAAAAATCATATTCACATTTCCTTATGAAGAGTTAAAATATTTGGAAATAAATTTAATTTTAACTTAACAGACTATCTTCTTTGGAAAGGTAAGAATATTTGTAGAACAAATTACTGACTCATAGCTCCAATCAAAAATAGAATTGATTCTCTTAACTATTAATCACCAGATATAAAACTTACTTCTGTCTTGTTTATTGCTGAAGTAAGATTATATTGCATGGCTAATGAAAGTTCAGGATAATCACATAAAACTTATAAATGTCTATAACATAAATATATTTAAACATATTAATAATGTCAATAAATTAATTCAATGAGAAGTGTAATGGACAAGAACAATTCTAAAATGTATTTTATCTGTGGCTACATAATTATTAATAAAACATTCTGATAATAAGAATTTTACGGATTAACTTGATAGCATTAGGAAAAAATTGAAATAATCAGCTGTAAAAAATTACAGAGTTACTTAACATTGATAAATAAGCATCGCTTAATTCCACTTTGGGGAATTAAGTGCTGAAGAAGTATAAGAATTGAAGAAACATGACAAAACAGTTGGAAGGTGAGTGAGTAGAATGTGTGGATCTTTTATTGTTATGTTTGGATGGGAAAACTTTTCCATAGATATTCCAAAAGGAATGCAACAATAAAGCAATTGAATTTATTTATAGCTGCCTTTCTGGATAAGATTGAAAGTTTGATTTTTTTTTTCAAACGATTTGAAGGTAATTCTGTTCTGGCTGCCTGCTTGGAGACCTTCCAGTCTGTGAATATGGAGGTTCAAGAGGGGATCCACCCTTGCCTTGGTGCAGTGGACCTGATTCCCATTTACCCACTCTGTGGTGTAGGAGTGGAAGAGTGTGGAGCTGTGGCCAGAAGTAAGAGAAATTTGGTGTAGTAAGTTATTCCTTAGTGGAAACCATTCTTACAAATCCTAACAGTTTGTGACGATCCAATCTATTCTCAACTCCCTGGGAAAAGTCAACCTTGAAGAATTCTGTCAACAGAAAGCTTTCATGGCTCCGAAGGCACACTGTGTCTTTATGACTCATCCTTCCACCTCCCACCCCATGACCCCATGCAGCACTAAATACTGTGGGATGCAGCCAATTGATCACTATTCTCCCTTACAAACTCACGATAGAGCATTGAGGAAACAACAGTAGTTTCTAATGAGTTCCTTAGACTCTCCGGGCAGAACGATGGTGTGTTTTGCCCATCTGTGTTCCATTTTCTTGAGCAGGGGTAATGATGAGGTTGAAAAACCACTTAAATGTTAAATCCTACCCCTTTTGCCTCTGATTATTTTTTTCTTTTTTTCCCTGTGTGTAACTCTCTTTAAGAATTTCTTTAGAACTGAACTGTCACATGCTTGATTTGAGCCCCAAGGGTAAGTTTAATTTGGAAAATTCAGCTATGTCACTTGAGGTGTTCTTGAATTAGGCAAATTGGGAGAAAAGAAGGACCTTTTGCTTAGACACTCCAGCTTTACCAGGGTTAATTATGAGATGTAGTGGCTCATAACCTTTGGGGAAAATTTGGCCTTAAGATAATTGTGTTTTTCTCTGTATGACCTCAGAAATCCCTCTATAATGTTGCTTCGTTTTTAGTTCATAGTGAATTATCTAACTCCGGTGGAATAGATCTGGACTCCAACAGGTCGGCTACATTCATCAATAGGAATAGGGAGTGAGCCTTGTTTTCAAAGGAGTACTTCATGTGTTGAGTTGCATTTCCATGTGACTCGAGAGTCTGTGTTTTCTTTTACAAGGAAACCTTGGCCCCCAAATTGCTTTAGTTTTCATCTAAGAAAGAGTTAAAAAAAAGTTCAGCATGAGGGAGAATCTGTTTCACACAAAGATGAAGAGTTCAGGATTGTTCAGACCAGAATAATGATTTTAATTGTCTTCAAAACAATTATGTTCAATTACATTAAATCTCAAATTAGCTAGTACATGAAGTTCTCCATTACATCAGGACTAGTCCTCCCCAGATGTTCGTCCTGCATAGGAGACAGTTGACAATCGGAGGGTCTGGACACAGTATTTCTCTCTTCCCTTGCCCTTTTGCTTCATTGGCAGCTACTGTACCTCATGATTTAAACATGGACATTTCTAATTAAATGAGAGCTCAGCTGCATTCTTGAACTAATTTATAACGTTTGATTTGAAATGTAATAGCTTCAATCTTCATCTGATTAAAAACAGTCATATACTGTACATGGTTACTATTTTGATGCTCCAACATGCAGTTTTTATTTTTATATTCCCCCTTCTACACAGCTGTTCATCTAATATCATCCAAATTTTTAAAAATTCTCTCTCTCTCTCTCTCTCTCTCTTTCTCTCTCTCTCGTAACAGCCTACTTAAGCATTCTTATGAGGCATCAGTATTTGAATTTTGGGATCTCACTGATCAGAGAATAGTGAAGGGATGTTTTGTTACCAGCATAATGCCTTCTTAGGAAACCATTTTAAGATAGTAATCTAACTAATTTTCTTTGGAACAAAGGCAATGAAGAACATTCTAGTGATAAAAAAATTTATGTGTGTATAGTGTATATTTTATATTTAAAAATTTAATATATTTTGAAATTATTTTTTCTGGTAATGCTCAGGGGCTCACATAGGAAGGCAGGGATTGAACCTGGGTCAGCCGCATGCAAAGCAAATGCCTCACTCACTACACTATCTCTCTAGCCCCAACTTCCATCATTTTTTATATCATGTTTATGTTTCTGAAAACTTCCTCTTCTTCCTTTTCCCTATCTCTTTTCCTCCCTTCCAAGTTCCCTCTTTACATCCTTTCTTCTCTCCCATTTCTTCTCCTTCCTTTCCTCTTTTTATCCTATTTAGTTTTTGCTGAAGTGATCCATGCATGTGGCTTTTTAGAAAAAAAATTCTAGGTTTTTCTCGTTAATTGTAAGCATATAATTCTTCCTCCACCCCAACACACATCTATTGCCTTTTCCTTTACCTTAGAGTCAAGTGCACCCAAGTCCTATAATTCAAGTTCAACTCCAGATATCTAGATATTATGTTTCTGTTGGTACTTCTTGTAGGCATTGTCTACTGACTTTTTAAGAAGAAATCACTTCACATGTAACACTATGAATCTATTAATTTCAGGTGAATGACTTAATATTTAATTTTGTACATATTGAGAAATGATCACACAGTGAATCAAGTGATATTTGTCCACAAACAGAAAAATTCTTTTCCTTGTGACGAAGGGCTTATTTATTTTCTTACATTTATTCACTGTGGGAAAAGTTACAAAGCTTTCAGGTTTAAGTCTCGGTCATACAATGATCAAACACCTTTCCCTTCACCAGTACTCATTTTTCACCACCAAGAATACCCCAATATACCTCCCACCCCTCCCAATGCCTGTGAGGCAGATGATTTCTACTGAACTCTTCTCTACATTGATTACATTCATTATTTCGACAAAAGATGCACCATTTTTGTTTAGAATTTACCCCCAAAAAATCAGAGTTGTTGAAAAGGCATTGTGAAATACTTTGTTTTCTATAGCTGGTATGAAAATCATATAATGTCATATAATTATTTTGGATTTCTGCAAAGAGCCAGATCATTACGAGATTGGTTTCTGTGAATTGGGTGTTATGGCTGTGCCAGAGAGCCACTTGTGGGGGGCAACTAGTGACTTCGGTAGGGCGCGAAGAACGAGACCACCCTCCTTCCCATGAGACTGCAGTTGCCCCGTCACCACCGGCTCATACTTGGCTTTCCTGTAAGTTCTGAGGTGGTGGCCACCTTGCTGCGGGGGGGGGGGGGGGGGGAGGGGGAGGCGGAAGGAGCAACACCCTTTCCCTTCACGGAAGGCATAGCGCCGTAGTTGAACGCATGGTCCATTCACTTTTCTGCTGCAAGCTCTCAGGCTCTGAACTAAGTCCTTTTGCCTCTGGAGCCATAGCTGTGCCAGAGAGCCGCTCATGGGGGGCAACTCGTGACCTCAGTAGGGTGTGAAGGACGAGCCAGTACCGTCCCCCTTCCCATGACACTGCAGTTGGAAGGGCTTTTTTTTTTATGTAGGAGTACTGCTATTTATTCAACCACTCGTTAGCTGATTGAATTGGGCATGAACTCCACCTTACTTTTTTTTTTTTTTACTTTTTTTTCCCTTTATTTTATTTTATTTTTATTAAAGTTGTAGATTTACAATTTTTTGTGCTTTGGTTTCAATTATACAATGATCAGATACCCATCCCTCCACCAGTGCCCATTTTCCACCACCATGGATAATATCCCTCCCACCCCCATCCCCCCATCCCCCCTGTCTCTGTGGCAGGGCAATCCCCTGTGTTCTCTCTTTCCTTTTGGGTGTTGTGGTCTGCAAAAGAGGCATTGAGTGGCAAACATGTTCAGTCCATAGTCTACTTTCGACATGCATCTCCCCTCCTGGGAGGATCCTACAAACATACTTTATTTGGTGCTCCCTTCTCTATCTGAACTGCCCTTTCCTCTAGGATACCTGGCTGGCCTCTAAGTTATGGAGTAATCCTCCTGGTGCTGATCTCAGCTATTCTTGGGTATTAATCTCATATTTTGTTACTTTATATCCCCCAGATGAATGCAATCTTTCTATGTCTATCCCTCTCTTTCTGACTCATTTCGCTTAGCATGATACTTTCCATATTGTACCACTTGTATGTAAATTTCATGACTTCATCTTTTCTAAGAGCTACATAGTACTCCATTGTGTAGATGTACCAAAGTTTCTTTAACCAGTCATCTGTTCTTGGGCATTCAGGTTTCTTCCAGTTTCTGGCTATTGTAAAGAGTGCTGCAATGAACAAACAAGTGCAGATGTCATTTCGACTATACATTTTTGCCTCTCTGGGATATATTCCCAGGAGTGGTATTGCTGGGTCAAATGGGAGCTCAATTTCTAATTTTTTGAGAATCGTCCATACTGTTTTCCAGAAGGGCTGAACCAGTGGACATTCCCACCAACAGTGAAGGAGTGTCCCTTTCTCACCACATCCACGCCAGCATCGGTTGCTTTTGTTCTTTTGAATGTGGGCCAGTCTCTGAGGTGTGAGATGGTATCTCATTGTGGTTTTGATCTGCATCTCCCTGATGATTAATGATGTAGAGCATTTTCTCATGTGCTTTTTTGCCATTCGGATTTCTTCTTTGAGAAAGTTTCTGTTCATTTCATTGCCCCATTTTTGGATGGGGTTGGATGTTTTCTTCTTGTGAACTCCACCTTACTTTAAAAAAAAATTTTTTTTTATAATTTTATTTATTGAATCACCATGAGAGCAGTTACAAAGCTTTCGGGTTTAATCTCGGTCATACAATGAAACACCTATACCTTCACCAGTGCCCATTCTCCACCCCCCCCAAACCCCAGTATACCCCCAACTCACACCCTCCCCCTACCTGTGGGGCAGATGATTTCCACATTACTCTCTCTATACTTTGATTACATTCAATATTTTGACACCAGACTCACCATTATTATTTGGGATTTTACCCCAACACTCATATCTGCTGAAAAGGCAACAGTAGACACATTGTTTTCTATTGCTAGTTATGAATAACACATGATGTCACGTGGCTGCAAGTAGCGACCACACGATTTTGAAATTCTGAAATTTTAACAATTAAATCTGGAGGGATTTCTGCCAAAACCTGCTGGGTTCCAAGATTTGTTCCTGAGTCTCTTGGATCATGGCTGTTAAAAGCTTGATCAGGAGCCAGAGAGGCCGTTTGTAGGCGGCGACTCAGGGTCTCCTTGGGATGGGGGGGAAGGGCCGTCTCCACTCCCATCCCCTGAGGTCCCACGTGTCTCGTCACTGCGGGCCCAAACCTGACTGTCCAGTGGCCTCTGGCATATGGTGGCCACC